AAATGGGTTGTTACAGTTCTTTGTAGTCTATCATGTGCCATTTCATTTGGTCACCATTGGTCTAACAGATGGCTCCCAGGTCTGCAAAGGAGGAGCCTGAGGCTCGGGGAGGCTGAATTCCTCAAGTTCACACACACACACACACACACACACACACACACACACACACACACACACACACACACACACACACACGAGAGAGAGAGAGAGAGAGAGAGAGAGAGAGAGAGAAAGAAAGAGAGCTTTTAATCCACAACCTTTCCTTTCTTGCTCATCCCCAAGATCACACATTAATAAGAATATTACATATAAACACTTTACAAACTTAAAAAGGTACCCAGCCTTAACAATTCTAACACTTTAAAAATTGTCTCTTTAAAAATATCCAGTCTCTTTTAAAATTCAAATAATTCTCTGTAAAATTACAAAAATACCTTTTTGTTTAAGTTTAAAAATCTTTCAGCTCTGGGTTCCTGTAAAGATCAAAACTAGCTTAAGTTTTTTCTTATTTCTGGAAGGAATAACCAGGTCACAGTCACAATCTGAACAAAGCAAAACCAAACTCCAACTAAGTAACAATGTCAAATTACCTGGGATCTACTCAAAGTCTTCTGGACCCCTGCAAAGGGCCTGGGTCATCTCTCCAGCTCCTGCCCTCTGCAGCACACAGAGCTTGTGTCTTCTAAGCTCAGGATAGTTCCACTCCACTGCTGCTATTCTTGGTAGTTGCCCCATGGTACTTGTATCTCCAAAATGCTGGGGTCTTCTGCTGTAAGCGGGCTGCACTTTCAGCAGTAGCCTCTCCCGGGCTCTCTTCAGGGACTCCAGCCCTGCCACTCAGTGCCAAGCTTCAGCTGCTCTCCATGACCCCTTCACGCCTTTAAAACCAGCAGCACCTGGGTGAGCCTTACACTACCAAGTTCAGCTGCCAACGGCAAGTTCAACCGTGGCCACTTTTGGACCACAGCTTCTTCGTGCTGACCCTGAGGAAACACTTCCCAGAAGAGGTCACCTCCGTGACGCTGGTCTCTTCTTAATCACAACAGACTCTTTGCCCTAACTGACCAGACATCACAGATTTTTGTTTTGTTTTGTTTTTTTGTTTCTCAAAACAGAGTTTCTCTGTGTAGCCCTGGCTGTTCTAGAACTCACTCTGTAGATCAGGGTGGCCTCGAACTCAGAGGTCCACCTACCTCTGCTTCTGGTGTGCTGGGATTAAAACTTCACAAGCCAGGCTCCACCATCTGCACTGCTTTCAACATTCGTATCTTCCAAGGTCCCACGAACACTTCACTGAGCCCTCAACACTCAATGGCTTTTCTAGCCCTATGTTCCAAAGTCCTCCCACAATCCTCCCCAAAATTAGATGGTCAGCTCTGTCACAGCAATATCCCACTATCCGGGTACCAACTTGGCCTAGTTAGGTTTACAGTGATGAAACACCATGATCGAAGCAACTTGTGGAGGAAAGGGCTTATGGGGCTTACACTTCTATATCTCTGTTCATCACTGAAGGAAGTCAGGGCAGGAACTCAAGCAGGGCAGGATCCCAGATGCAGGAGCTGATGCAGAGCTGCTTACTGGCTTGATCCACGTGGCTTGTTTAGCTTGCTGTCTTAAAGAACCCAGGACCACCAGCCCAGGGTGGCTCCACCCCCAATGGGCTGGGCCCTCCTATATCAATCACTAATTAAGAAAAAGCCCTACAGGCTTGCTATCAGCCAGATCTTATGAAGGCATTTTCTCAACTGAGCTTCCCTCTTCTCAGATGACTCTAGTTTGTGCCAGGTTGACATAAAGCTTGCCAGGACAATTGTCAAAGTAAAAGAGAATGAATGTAAGCAACAGGTGGGTGGCAGGAATGAGAAAACAAAATGCTCCGGAATTGAGGCTACATGTCATACATGGGTCCATGTGACAGGCAGCTTGATGTGCTACAAGCCTGGCCAGCACTGAGTGTGACGTTTCAATTGCAGGATTTTCTTTAGGGACACATCACTAGGCAATATATATCTCTGAGGATCTTAAAATGATCACCTGTATTTATTGTTTCTAACTGTATGGTTTTCATAAACTAAAATTTCAGTAGGGAAAATGGAGAGGATAATGTTGATTTCTGAGTGGATTTGGATTTTAAAAAAAGATCTTAAAACATAGATCTTAACTACAAAAAATAAGGATGATGAGGGACTTGTTTCCTACAAGCGATGACATTCCCTTGACTACAATACAACTATCATATCAGGACAGCAACGCCTTTACTTTCTGCCTTCTCATCCTGACCTCATTGATGACCGTTGTACAAATAGATCCACCCAGAACACCATTTTTCGCTTTGTTTCAGATCCTTTGTCTCCATTCTAGGAGTTTTCCATCTTTCATGGCCTTGGTGCTTTGGGAGATTATGTGCAGTTATTTTGGATAATCAACTTAATACTTAATGAACTGACTTGACTGGTTTTACACCCAAGTCTAGCTGTGTGTTTCTGTTAGGCATGTCTCAAGTCCTGTGCTACACCATTCCCGTCACACCCTATCAGATGGAGCAAGTTCTTTTCATTTATCCCTCAACGTCGATGTCATCTTCAATCTTGACTAAGGCTTTCTAGTTTGCAAAGACTCTAAAGGGTCTTATCTTTTGTCTTATTAATAAGGGGACTTCTGAGACTTCAAATACTCTATTCATCAAATGTGCAGTTTATTTTTTAAAATTTATTTTTCTGTGTATGGGTGTTCTACCTACATGCATGTCTGTGTACTAAGTGTACACATTGCCCTTGGAAGTAAGAAGAGGCCATCAGATCATCTGGGGCTAGAATCATAGGTGGCTCTAGTGGCCATGTGGGCAAAGGCAACTGTAGCATGTAACAGATGATGGGGGTTAAAGCTGAAGATCAGAGAAGCAAAGCAGTCAGCCACTAGAGTTACTTCTACCAATGCTATCCACTGAACCTCAAGACTGCACTAAGCTTCTGTCTCCTCCTGACTTATATTCCTCTGTAAGTGCTGGGATTAAAGGCATGGGAACCCAAGTGTTGAGATCATCTTTGTGTGAGCTCTGGTTCTCTTTTAGACTGGATCAATTTCATGTAGTCCAGAATGGCCTTGAACTCACTCTTGGAAAGCCAAACCCAACCAATGAAAAGGTGGCTGGAGCAATGGCCCAGTGGTTGAGTGTGCTCTAAGGTCTTGCAGGGATTGGTTTGCAGCACCCACAGCCTGTGGCACACAACTACATGCAACTCCAGCTTCAGGAGATCCAACACCCTCTTTTGGCCTCTATGGGTGCTCTCCTACACATAGCATACATGATGCATGAACATAAACACACATAAAAAACAAAAATGAAAGGGTGTTGGGTGCTTTCCAAGGGAAAATCAGGATACCGTTCCCAAAACTGAAGGGCAGAGATAAGAGCTTCTGCTTATTCAGGGACAATCTACATATCTTAACCAATTGGTATCTTTTCCTCTCCAAAGTAGCCAATGTGCTTTGTGGAAGTATTTGAACTTCGGGGTAAGGGAAAATGAGCTGTTTGATCTCTTTGATGTAATCTCTCCCTCCTCAGACTATTTTGCACACCATAATAAAATCATAAGGAACGATGCTCTCCTCTCTCTCTCTGTTGAAAGTTTGAGATCACTCCTGCTCTTCCATGATCTTATCTTTCCACTTAGGTTGCTCCCCTGTGTAAATCAGTGTTTTTTAGGACTTGTCAAGATCTACAAGAATGTAACATTCACTAAGTCAGCCAGGGATCTAGACATTCGATTTGTAATGTTTCCTTTTAGGACCTAAGAATATAGTAAAAATAAATATGCCTCTCAATATAAAATGGTTTTTCATCTAAGCCAACTTGCCCCTAGACCAAGCTTATTCTTCTAAAACCGTAAACTCTTCACGATAAAGTATCATGAGATAAATGGCTTTTCTGTAATGGGAAAACATGCTAGAGAATTATTTTTTCCTGGTGGTCATCCTTTCTTTACATGTGAATAAATTTACAGTATGCAACCGCCAGTGGCAGGTGTCAAGGACATAGTTCAAAAATTGTAGTTTTATTTGAACAGAGAAATGGATTTTTGACAGGTTTCAGTCTCCTTGTTCGAGTATATAAAACATCTTTTCATTTTCAGCCAACAGATTTACTTATATACCAACTTAGTAACTTGCAAAATACAAACATACAAAATAAAGTGACATCTTCTAAACAACAAGGAATTAAACATGAACGAAATTACTGACTCTTTTCAATCCTGGGCATCAATTCCAGGGCCTTGTGCATGTTAGACAAGAGCTCTATTACTGAGCCTTGTCCCTAACCTGGAAATTACTTTTACAATAAAGTAAAAGGTAAATTAAATGCAGGAGTACATCACTATCTTTATTTTTATTTAAGCCAAGTATGGTGTGGATCAAAAAGTTATTTAGACAACATGCATGATCTATATGTTGTATTTCAAAACAAATTTCAGAACATATACCATTTTTTTCCTACTTCCAAAATTCATGTATTTTAACTTAAAAGGCAGTATTTACAAAATAAGTTTCTGCCACAAGAGAAACATGACAAACTGGACATGGGGTCAGTCATGTACCTATAGTTCTAGCACTCGGGAGGCTGGGACAGGAGAATCACCTGAGTACAGGAGTTCCAAAGCAGGTTGGGCAACAAGAGTGGGACCTCATCTCAATAATAACGACCCCTCCCCACCCCAAAATCCAACCCCTCAAACAAAAGCAGGACATAATAAAAATCAAAAACCTCTGAGCTGGAGAGATGGCTCAGTATTTCAGAGCACCTGTTGCTCTTCCAGAGGACCCAAGTTCAATGCCCAGAACTCACATGGTGGATCACAGGCATCTGTAACTTCAGTTCCAGGGGATCTCATGCTTTCTTCTGGCCTTCTCTGTGGGTACTAGGCACCCACTTGGTGCACTGACTCACATGCAAGCAAAACACCCATTTGGGTAAAATAAATAAACACAAAACCAAAAAATCTCAAAAGCAACATTATTAGTTATTTTTAATGGTTATAATGAAGCCAATTTTCTTCACAAAGAATCTACAGGAAGATTTAACACTGTATGATTCTTGAGTACAACCAACAAATTAATACAGATTAACTATCTCACAAGTCCCGACAAGCACTGACTTTTGAGTTCACAAATTTTGAAAATACACTTTAAGAAACACCCTCCAGTCACTGTTCACAAACCCAGTTGCTTTCTTAAAGCAAGTTCCAGGGTTCACAGTGTTCTATGCTTCCAAGGAACTCGAGATCCTGGCAGTCATTAGTCCTCCTCTTTCTCAATGTAAGTCTTTGCATTAATCCGCGCCATCTGCCTGGCCAGGTACCTGTCTCTCGCTGACATCACAGTTTCCTCATTGCTCCGCTTTGCAAACTTGCTCAAGGCCTCGGGGGGCTTCGATTGCTCATTGCCCTTCTCCTGCCTTTCCTCTGCCAGTCTATGTTTTGTTGCTAGTGATGTTTCAGAACGAGAGGGCTTCTCTTGGTCCCCATTGTCCTTTTCCATGTTTCTTACTTTGTTGGATCTTTCCTGGTCAAGAAACTCATCCTTTGGTCTAGATCTTGGGCTGCTTTCCCTTCTGTCTCGATTTCTTTCTTGTTTTTCCATCTCTCTGTATCTCCCGTTGTTTTCATATCTTTCCTTTCTTCCTTTCATATGTTCTTCTTTCTCTTTGCTTTTCTTTTCTTTCTCATTGTATTGGTCGTGGTCGTGGTCATTCCACTGTCTGCTTTTGTCTTGTTCTCTGGAGGAGTATTTCTCCCTTTTCCATTCTCTGTCCTGCCTTTCTCTCTGCTCTCGCCCCCTCACATTATCTTCTTGCTCATGCCTCTTCCGGTAGTGATCTTTGTGATCGATTTCTCTGTGCCTGTGAGAACTCTTTTCTTTCCGGTGGCTGTGGTCCATCTGACAGCTCTCCTGCTCTCTGGCCTGCCTGTTCTGGTGCTGACCTCCCTTTTGGTCGTGTCCTCTTGACTTGGGACTTCTGGAATGGTGCTTAGCACCATGTCCTCTTTCTTCACTAGAGGATCGAGAGTGGGTCCGATTCTTGTGATGCCTGGGGTACTTCTTAGTCTCTTCTTCCCTTCTGTGGCTGACTTTATTTTCTTCCCTTTCATCATCCTCACTGCTCTTAGTGTCAAAATCACTGTCAGCATCGGGGTTTTTCCCCTCTCCACCAGCTTGGAGAAGGCAGTTCTGCTGCAGTCTGTCCTCTGAATTTGCTTCATCAGAGTAACCCCTAGGCTTCTCTTCTTTGTGCCCAGTCCTGTAAAAAAAAAAAAAAAATCATATACATAGAAAAAACTACTTTATTAGTTGTGGAAAACAAAGGAACGCTCATGTGAATTTTCTCAACGCTTTACTCAATACAACTAAATATGTCCTTCTGATCATTGTCTACTTATCTTTCCAATTAGTACTTTCAAACAGCTTCGAGCATTTTAATGCTGATAGTAGTAAAATAAAGAACACAGTCCTTCTCTCTTAGGTTACCAGAACCTTTAGGAAAGGGTCTGTACAAGGTCTCATTTTTCTTTCTAGTTCTAGACAAAGAATAATTAGGAAAAGTATGCCATGGATCTAAGTTCTATTTTCACAACATGAAGTTCTTTCATTTTGTTCTTTAAAGTCCTAACAGTACCAAACCTAATTCTAAACATTACTAATTAAACTTTTCCAAGATTAGAAAGGCATCGTGACCCTGATACAGTGTCTCAGTGCCTATCACAACAGAAAAGAAACTGCTCAACCTTCCTGGCTGCTGCCATCAGCAACCCTAAAATTATTTATATGACTACATTTTTCCAGCTGGGTGATTAACTCATTGATAACACTCATACATGATTGCTTGTTCCTAGTGTTGGAGGACTGGCTGGAGTTAAGCATGCTAGTCAAGTGTTCTAAAATATCCATGTCCTCTGCAAATTCTCCTTTACATTTAGCTGTACTGTACACATGACACAATTAGCTTAGCATTCCTATAATACTTTAAAATTTTATGTAAGCGTCTTCTAATCCTTCGCTTTTACCAGATCAGAGATGGATAAAGAAAATGTCTAAAGAAATGGTAATAACTACATTTGAGCTGTTTGGTATGGCAGTCATTAGCCAAAAATGGCAACATAATACTTGCAATGTAGAATTAAGATTAAAATTTTAGATTTTATTTACTTTTAAGTTACCTGAACACCCAACCTATGGCTCCTGCTGATATTACACAGGACAGCTTTAGGCTCTTATTTGTGACTATGACATTTATAGAGGCTGGGTTCCCCTCAAGAAGATAAGCCACTTTTGTATCACATGCTATCTGATGATCATGTAGAAGCACAGGCTGTGTGACCCAACCCTTTACCAATCTCTCCTTACTTCTTGCAGTAATTATTCTCAAGCACCAGAGCTATGTTTGTAGTTTTGTTTGGTTCTTCCTTTAAGGCTATATATAAAAGACCCATCAAGCACTTAAATATTCAGAAATTTTATACACTAAAATGTTTTAATATAAAATAATAATTTTTTGGTGAGCTGTAGAATAAAAATCACACCGACCTGAATCTTTAGGTTTTTAAGTTAGGAAACTGTAAACTCACTCACCCAATTAGGTTTTGTTGACTGACAACACAATAAATACCCAATGCTGTAGCCTTCTACTCAACAGTTTAAAATGACTCCCAAATTGCATAACCACTGACTGTCAAGGCTATCTTTCTTCTAAACATTTCACTTGCCGCCTCTTACCTGGCTTCACGGAAGCTGGACTTAGGAACTGCTTCTTCACCAACGGCTTGATTTAACAGGTGCCTATAAAATCCACTAAGATCTTTCTGCTTGGTCACATCCAGTCGTGCTGGAGGGGAAGCAAAGACAAACTGAGATTACAGATTCAGCAAAGCAGAGCACAGCTTCATTTCACACATGCAGAAAATATGCCATACAAAGATGAGTAACATCCTCTAGCCCAGGTTCAGTGCTTTTAACTGACTGGTGTGTCTATGCACAAGCATGTGGAGGCCACTGGATAGCCTGTGGGAGCTGGTACTCTCTTGCCATCCTGCAGGCCCAAGGAATCAAACTCAGGTTGTCTGGTTTGGTGGCAAGCTCCTATACCTGCTGAACCATCTCCCTGGCCCAGATACAACCTTACAGATTTACTTTTCTTTCACTTAAAATTGAAGAGCATTTGCCAATTAAATTACTGATAAGTACATATCATAGTTTGGCCTTGAGAAGCACTCAATTCAATGGCTAAGATATTCCGTAGCCCCTGATTATTAATGATATTCTTTTTCTAACTGCCCAGTTAATATTCCTTGACTACTGTTAAACATTTTCTCATTTAGAATATGGAATTAGAGTTTAAAGTTTATTTATGCTTCTGGTAAATGTAATGTTGTTATGCATTATACATGTTTTTACATTTGGAATTTCTAAGACAATGGCTTGTAATTATCACAGTTAAAGTAATAAAATAAGAACTAAATGAAAAGCCCCAAAGGACTAACGGTCACTTAAGAGTTCAGCTGTGTTTTTGATGTAACCCTGCCTCTACCACCATACACTGTTGTCTGGCGACAGAGCAAATGGCTCGGGCAGCAATCTGCTGCCGTACCTTCCTCCTTTTACCTTCCAGGGCAGCCGCCTTCTTTTCTCTTTCCTCCTCTTCAGCTCTTTCTTCTAGTTTTTTTTTATAAGCAGATGTTACAAATGCCTCTTTGTCATCAAATTCTCCCTTTTCCATCTCTCGTTCTCTCTGTATTTTCTTTTCCATTCTTTTTTCCTGTTCCTTTTTTCTGATCTCCACTGCTTTTAGTAAGTTGTGGATATATTTGGGCTAGAGAAAAAAAATTTTAAAAAGAGGAAACAAAATGACACCCGTTAATATAGAAATATTAAATTTAAACAGTGTGTCTATATAAAACTCAGAATAAATTTGCTAGCAAAACTACTACTGAAATGGTTTCTACTATGAATTGAAGTGTAGCAGAGGGAACAGTAGCACACACTTATAATCCTAGCCTGTGGGAGTCAAAGGCAGGATAGTCACACCAACTTCAAGGTCAGCTCAGTCTAATACCTGGTTTAAGGTAGATGAGAGCTAGAGAAACTTGCTCCCACGAGGTGCATAGACCAGACTGGCCTCAGATTCTTGGCAATACCGTTGCCTATCTTCCTCAGTGCCATCATGTTTAGTTCCTAGCTCCTAGTTTTCTTTTTACTTTGTTTTATTGAGATAGTACATAACACAGTCCAAGTTGGCCTTGAACTTTCTATATATCCAAGGATGGTTCTTATCTTTGGACTCTCCTGCCTTAGTCTCCCAAGGGCATATGCCACCATGCCTGGTTCTAAAAGATTATTTTTTGAAACAGGGTCTTACCATGTAATCCCAGCTGTCCTTGAACTCATGCCCACCTGCCTCTGCCTCTCAAGTATTGGGATTTAAAGTGTGTTCCACCATGCCTGGCTACTTGATAGTCTTAATTCAACAAATGAATGAATCAGAAAACAAACCAGAAGCAGTTTAAATCTAGTATACAGAATTGTTAAAGAAAAATTTTCAAAAAATTATTCGCAAAGATTGCAAGGTAAAAAAAAAAAATCAAAATACTGAATAATTCACTTTACATCTGCTAGGGCCTAGATTCTAAAACTCAAATCTATAATTTAGAACCAAGAACTCATTGCAATAACTAATTTTATTTTTTACTTAAGTCACTTTCAAAATAATACCAAAAAGCCAAAACCAAAAACAAAGAAAAAAACAAGGCCAAAATCAAAGAAAGTTGTATTTCAGCTACTAACCTTCCGGTCTTTTCCCAGCAGCAGCTTGGGATTACTTTCTTCCTTCTTTTTCTGCATTTCATCATAGATGCTGTCATACTCATACACAGTGGAATCTTCTGCAAGGGCTTTCTGAATCTCCAGTTTGGTCTTTAAAAAAGGTAAAGGTTTAAAAAATATGCACCAGCCAACAGATACCACTAAAAAAGAAGTCTTTTTTTTTTTTTTTTTTTCCAGAAAGGTTCATACATTAGAAATGTGTCTTAGAAACTGTACAAGATGGGACATGAATGTGAACTCTACAGCAGACCATCTGGGTTTAAACCCTGGCTCCACTGGCTCTGAGCAATTTGTGTGCTTTAATTTTCCTCACCTAGAAGAATGATTATTATATCTGTCAAGTTGTGATAACACAGGGAGTAAGTGCTCAAACACTAAGACATTTTCAATTATATACAATTTTGCACATCAAAAATTTCAAAAGTCATAAGGATGACTGAGCAACACATAGACCTGGCTTTTTATGTTATGTTTAATAGGTTTCCTAATAAATTGAAAAACATTAAAGTTCCTAACATTAAAAAATCCAAACACAGCATTAAATGGGAGCCATATTATTAATTTTTACATTATCAATCATATAATGTCCTCTGCTTTTATCATGTTTCTATCTTTCTCTTCCTTTTATGGCATATCAAAATCTTATCTAGAGGCTAGAAAGACAGCTCAGGGGTTAAGAGCACTGGCTACTCTTGTAGGGACCTCGGTTAAATTCCCAGCATATGCCAATGTTGGTTCACAACTGTACATTAACTCCAGTTCAGAAGATCTGATGGTCTGGCTTCTGAAGACATCAGTCACACAAGTGCACATACATGGATAGATATATACATAGTACATACATACATACATGTGAAACTTATACATATGAAATAAATTTTTTTAAAAAAGAAATTTACTACAAGTTTCAGAGCTAGCTCAACCCTCTACCTCTCAAATGAGGCCATCTCTGGGAAATTTAACTATCAACATTGTGTTTGAGTCTGATAAAACACGGTACATGGCAGTATTTGACTCTACTGCCCAGGAGGGCACAAGAGGGAGCCCAATCCCCTGGAACAGTAATGAACATGTGGTTGTGAGCTTCCAGGTGGGTGTTGGACCTGACCCTGGTCTTCTGCAAGAGTACTCTGAACTGCCAACCTATCTCTCCAGCCCCTGAACTCCTAATAGTATGTTTAATGTTACCACCTTTTTACTGTTCCACAACTGTAATTTTTTGATTCAACTCATTAGCTTCTGAAATGTGGAGCTGTACATATTTTTCTTGAACTGCTATATGACTTGTTTAATATAGATGTTAAAAGGGTCCTTTTTAAGAAAGGGTGATATAATTATTCAAAAGAATCCACCTGGTTATCTTTAAGTTTCTTTGCGGCACTAAGGATTGAACCCCAAGACCATACACATGGCAAACAAATCTATTACCACTGAGCTACACCCTCCCTCAGTCTGTCATACGTTTCTATACTAAACCTTCAGAGTCTAGAATAATGCATATATAAATAAATTTTATCTGGATTATTGTTAAAAATACCAAGAATCCCACATCCTGGACTTCTCAATATTCAGAAACTGAATGATAGTGAACTGTTGCTCTCTCCACAAACTAGCTGGGAGAATCCAAAGAGGGAAAAATGGCATCTAAGAAATACTACATAGTCACTTCCAATACCAACAACACAACATCTGGAAGTGGTGGCACATGTAATCACAGTGCTTGGGAGGTGGAGGCAAAAGGTTTAGGGGTTCAAGAACAGGGCTGGCTACATAGTGAGCTTCAGGTCAGCCAGGGCTATAGAAAGACCCTGTCTCTCAAAAACAACAAAAGATAGGAGTACTCTGAGGTAAATATATGCCTTTAAAGAATTATATCAGGGCTGGGCAGTGGTGGCGCATACCTTTACTGCCAGTACTCAGGAGACAGAGACAAGCAAATCTCTGTGAATTCGAGACTAGCCTGGTCTACAGAGAGTTCCAGGAGAGGCTCCAAAGCTACACAGAGAAACTCTGTCTCAAAAACCAAAACAATAACAACAAAAATTATATGGGGGGCAGTGAGGGCTGGGGGCTAGAGAGATGCCATATTACAAGTCCTGAGGACAATGACAGTCAAGTCCTGAAAATGGCTACAATATTTTAACACTGGGATGCATTTTTGTAGGGCTTTTAATTAAAATTTCACTGTAATTAATTCCAAGAACTTAAACTTGAAAAAAAGCTGGTAAATTACTGATAAAAATAGTACCAACAAAAAAATCTCTGAAAAGGAGCTGGTGAGAGGGCTCAGTGACACCTAGCCTGACCAACTATGATGACTGGAGAGAGCAGTCCTGGAAGCTAGCTTCTGACCTACTCACATATACCATGTCATACTCCCAACCTAAAATTTAAAAACAGACGTAATAACTAAAATAACAAAAAAACCAAAACCAAACCAAACAAACAATAATAAAATAAACCTGGAAAAAGTAGTATGAAGCAATGCATGGTGGTATACACCTATTATCCCAGCACTTGGGAGGTTGAGGCAGGGGCATTAAAAATTCTAGGCCAGGCTAGGTGATAGGCAAGACATTATTTCTAAATAAATATACTAAGACAAACAAACACAACGCAGGACAGGAGAAATGGCTCAGCAGCTAAAAGCCCTTGAGCAAAACTGACCCCCACGTTCAAACCCTGGCACCATGGACAGGGATGTGGTGGTGCACATCTGTAATCCCAGCACTGCTGCAGCACGGTGGGAGGCAGACACAGGAAAACACATTGGCAGAAACTAGAAATAAAGAGTTCTCTCCCTAAGAAAGTGAGGGAGAGAACCAACTCCTGACCCTCACACATGCAAGGGCATCTCTCTCTCTCTCTCTCTCTCTCGCTCTCTCTCTCTCTCTCTCTCTCTCTCTCTCTCTCTCTCTCTCTCTCTCTCTTACACTAAAATGCTGTATTTAACAATGACACACAGTATTTTTTCTAGTGAAATAGGTAAAGGACAAAATTTCACCATCAGTTCTGTATAACTCAGGTCCAAATAAATAAGGAAAAAAAGACTATCAAAGTATCATCCATTTCCTAGTTCATATTTTCTTTACAATTTGGTAAATGCTACCAAACTTCATGATAAAAGTTAGTTTGGAATTAAAGCAGCAGAGGTGAAAGTGGGGACACGAAGAAGCAGAGGCAGGCAGGGCGGGGAAAACACAGCAGCGGCAGGTGAGAAGGGTGCACTAGGGTAGCTCTCTCTCTCAACTTTGTTCACCGCATTATACTTTGGACCATCAAAATCCAAGATAATGGTATTCTAAAAGCAGAAATCAGTACATTTTCAGATCTAGTTGTGTCGACAAAAGGGGCAAGTGATACTTTCTTAGTCAGAAGCACAGGTGAATTCTCAGAACTTTAAAAGATAATGGATGCCTGGGAAGCAGTGCTTAGAGCCACCAGAGTGCTTCTAACAAAACCATTGTCAAATAGGACCTGACCATTCCCCCTTTCTGGCAGATGAATTTGAAGTAATTGTGCAATCACTTTGTCTATGGCTAGACATTTTCTTCTGTTCCAAGCTTAAGTTTTGCTAAAGTTCCAAGCAAAATTCAATAAAGAAAACAAATTCCAGCAACCTAAACAACCTATTACCAGACTCCTGAGTCAGTCAAAAGCAAGGCTGTAATATAGAATTAATTATGTCTTCCTTTTAAAGTTTATAAAGAAAGTCTGCGAAATATATAAATTGAGAAACACTTAATAAATTTTAAGAAATAAAATAACTTCATTACACACATTTATTCTATTCTCCTCTCAGTACTAGTACTAGGTACCAAAACACTTGGTAAAATGCATTTCCGTCTTTCATCCCTACCTGTTTCATGGCCTGTTTCTTAGCAGCTTCCCTCTGAAGGCTTTCACTCACGGAGGTCTGCAAGACAGAAAAATGTCATTGTTTACCTAATTTAAATTCCTTTCCCAGTATTCTGATCAGCAAATGGTTTCTTACTTAAGAATTAAAAATAAAAAGGTAGTACTAATTAAGTTAACAACAGGGTCTTTCCCCCTAAATGTCAGGAGACAAATTAATTTCCATTGTAATGCATCAGAACAGACTCTAAGACACACACACACACACACACACACACACACACACACACACAAAAACAAAGAAAAACTGTAAATGTGAATTTTGTACACTATACATCTGAAGTGGGTAATACAGAATAATGAGCTATAGACATAGGTGGATCTCTGTGATTTTGAGACAAGCCTGGTCTATATAAAGTGAGTTCCAGGACAGCCAGAGCTGTTACCCAGAGAAACCTGTCTCAAAAAAAAAAAAAACCACAAAAAACAGAAACACACTTAGCATTACAAATAGAAAGTATGAACTGAAGCTACAAGATACTGCTGCAATCCAGCTGAAATAGCTACTATCTAAAAGACAAGTGCTGCAAGGATATACAGAACAGAGAGCCCTGCCAGGAAGTCACTTGGGGAAACAGGGTTAACTACAATGTAATCCAGTAATCCTATTATTGGGTATTCAGCCAAAGAGAATGGAACTAGCATGTTAAAACACTACCAAAGTATAGCCAAATGCATTGGTCACTGAATCCAGATCTCCCAGGTAAGCAACACTTTCAATAAAAATTTTTGTTTGTCTTTTTGAGACAGAGTCTCACTACTGTAGCCATGGTTAGCCTGAATCTTGCCATGTAGACCAAGCTGGCCTTGAACTCACATAGCTCTGCCTGACCCTGCCTCCTAAATCCTGTCAGATTATCAATTTAAAACATTTATAGGAATAATATATACTGCCAATGTATTTTATGTCTATCTTTCTAATTAGTGCAAATGGATTTTTATCTTCCATAAATCAGAGACAGGAACAATAAACTTATTAAGGGAAAAAATGGATTTTATATATAGAGAAAACAAAACCATGATATATAACTATTGTCAACACTTAAATTAGTATACAAACAATTCTGATTTTGCCTAAGACCACTTCATAGTAAATCTAAAATGAAACTTTAGCCGGGCGTTGGTGGAACATGCATTTAATCCCAGCACTCGGGAGGCAGAGGCAGGTGGAATTCGAGGCCAGCCTGGTCTACGGAGCGAATGCCAGGTTAGGCTCCAAAGCTACACAGAGAAACCCTGTCTCAAAAAACCAAAAAAAAAAAAAAAAAAGAAAATTCATTACTGGTACTGCTATTCTTTTGTTTAAAAAGAAGAAAAGAAAAGAAAAGAAAAGAAATAAAGAAAATAAAGAAAAGAAATTAACAGGTACCTTTTTGTTGAACCATAGATTACCATTCATTTTAAATTTAGGAAGACAAAAATTATTCTCTAAGAAAAAATTTAAAGAGTTTATAATTATAAGCAAGAAGAAATATAAACATTTGAATCATCCTAAAAGTGAAAAAAAATCCATAAAGATACTTAAAAATACATTTTCTGCCAAAAATCTTAAGGAAAGAAGCCTACAGAACCTGAAACCTTGCAAATGTTTTAATTCACCAACCGACACTTTAGATAGCACCTAAGTAAGTAGGGTTTTGTCTGTTTAAGTTTCAAATAAAAAATTACCACCTATAGGTATCCATCACACAATTCTAAGGGCTAAAGACAAAAGATGATGTTGGCGGTGGTGGTGCACACCTTTAGTCCCAGCACTTGGGAGGCAGAGGCAGGTGAATCTCTATGAGTTCAAGGCCAGCCTGGTCTACAAAGTTACACAGAGAAATCCCATCTCAAAAAAGCTAAAAAAGACGTAGTCAAGTATGGTCATTTTATTCTTGGAGAATAAAAGTGATTCAATCAACCCAATGTTTGCTACATTGAGCTTAGTGAGATCTGGTCTATAGGGGAGACTTTTTGGTCACTAGTTAGTTGATCTGCCTCCTGGGCTGGGATGATTCGTGAGAGAAGCAGCTGGCTTGCTTTCACCAAGAGGCTGTGTAACAATCTGAAAAAACTTGAGGACACTAAGCCACTATTTATATTAATTTTTTCCCAGTCATAAACTCTGCTTAAGAGTTGTGAAGAATGTGTGAGATTTTTATTATGAGCTCAGACTGAAGACAAAGCCAACTGTCCTTATCTATAAAAAAAAGAGGAAGAAATTTTGGCTTAAAATTGTTCAGATTTCTGAGTGCAGGAACAGGTCAAGCACACAAATTTATTAAATATCGTAATATTTCAGATGTAGAGAATTAATACTTCAACTTAAATTTAAAAATGGCTTAATTATTTTAACACTTTTAAACCATCATTTGAGGATCTTGTTGTGTAGAAGACACCATTCTGGGCACTACTGCCAGTAAATAGACACTTAGACACCTAATAAAACATCTCTGCTCAAATAGATGTTTATAACATGAAAATGAATATATAGTGAGTCACTCCTAAGAAACTAAAATTTCAGAAATTATCCAATTAAAATTCCAGAAACTGTCCACCTTTAATCTAAGCTCTAGCACTGGAAAAGCAGAGGCAGGCAGATCTCTGTGTGTTCAAGGCCAGTGTAGGCCACATAGGGAGTCCCAGGCCAGACAGAACTATATAGGGAAACCCTGTCTCATTAAATATGCATTTTTTCCCAGAATATATTAGAAGTGCTTTGTTAGGACTAGGGCCATTTTCCACTATTCTCAGTATTTCTATTCTCAGGAATAGAAATAACTGGCTTTCCTTGTGAGGAATTCTGTATGAGCTCCTATTTTGTGCACAGCTTTGCTTCTTTTGTTCATGCTGTTGTACACACACTTGACTTTGACCTATTTCTGGCTACACACTCTAGATTCACCTATTTTTGGTTACCTGCTTTCTGTTCTTAAAAAAAAAAAAATCAGTCTTAAACTGCAGTATGTCTTCATTCTAGACATAATTTAACTTATTTACAATGTTTAGATTCAGCTGCTATACTATAATTTGTCTCTTATTTGTAGATTATACTTCTGATTTTACATCCTATTAACTTGACTTTACATGTTCTGGCTCTGACTTCTATTTCTGAATTACGTCTTTAATTCTGTTCTTCTGAAGAATTGCGGTTTCCCTGCAACCAATATTCCTAAGCACTGGCCCATTACTTTATCATTGGCTTATCTCATTCACTTGATTGTGATAACCAATACTCACCTTACTTTAAATAGCCACCATATAATTTTTATCTACTTTAATGCTTTCCCCCACCTTTTAACATTTTAATTCTTAGATAGATCCTCCCTGTGGGGCCCAGGCTGGCCTCAAATTTGTATTATTCCATTATTCCTGCCTCAGTCTCTTAAATGCTGAAGTTACAGGCATGTGCTACCATGCCTAGCATGGTCTGGCACACTGAAAAAAAAAAAAAAAGGGACAAGGGAAATGACTCAGGAGTTAAAGTGTCAGTACTGGAGTTCAGAACTCAAATGCATGCTGGATGGGTGTGTGGCCCACCTATAAATTCCAGCTTCAGAAGGCAGAGGCAGGGGATCCACAGAGGAAACTGGCTGAATGAATAGGGCATAAAAGTAACCAGGATGATTCCTGACATCTACTTCTGGCCTCAACACAATATATATATATTTGTAGTTAGATATGGTGTTAACTGAAAATAAGATCTATACTTCAAACTCTCAAATACTACATGGGTGTTTGGGATATGGCTAAGTGATAGAAGACTTACCTAACATGCATGAGGTCCTGGGTTCACTCTCTAATACAAGTGAAATAAAATTTAAAAACCACCAGCTAGACATGGTAGTGCACACCTTTAATCCCAGCAGTTGGGGGGCAGAGGCAGGTGGATCTCTGAGTTCAAAGGCAGCCTTAGTTTTAGGGTTACACAGAGAAACCCTGTCTCAAAACAAACAACAAACAAAAAACCTACCTAGACAAAAATAATATATTATTTATCAATCACAACATGGTATGTTTAAAAAGGAAAGCAAGAGAGGATAAGGGATGTGGTATATAGTGAACTAATAGATAGCTCAGGACAAGAGTCATGCAGGATAATGATTTAGTGTGCCTTGAAATGACAGTTGTCAGAAACCACTCAGAAGAAGTCTTCTGTGTGTGTAATGGCTCTTGCCTTTGTTGAAGCACTATCACACAGAAGTTTCTACACACTGCATGTGCTAATGTCACAAAGGATGCAGTTCTGAAATTACTACCTTACCTGCTTTGTATGAAAATTGCTCTGAGATAAAAAGCCATGAGCAGCATAACGGAAACATATAAGGTCAGTTTTGGATTGCTCATAATGAAAACAGTACAGTTCTCTAACACATAAAGTGTAAGAACCTGATTAAAGGAAAAAAAAATCAGAACATATTTTCTATGTCTCACTATATCAGCCAAAATTAGCGACAGAAAAACAAGTATTTATAAGTTTAATGAAAACATGTATGCAGAAAGGTATCTCTTCCAACTTTCTTTAACTTACCAATAAAATAAAAATTCTGTATGTTTTTTCAGTTAGAAATATAAACTTGTTTTCAAAAGCACCAATATAAACCATGATGGCAACAGCTAGCACACTCAGAAGAGTCAAAGGTCTTATTATCCTTCCTGTGTGAGCTCAATTTTAATAAAATACACTTGGCAATGTATTTCTCTTTTTAAAGACAAGAAATAGTTTAGGACCCCATAGATAATAGCAATGACCAAGTCAGGTGTGCAGTGTGCCCAGGACAGACTTTATTAGAGTTCTGTTATAAATACACAGTCTCTTGACACTAAAGATTGTAGTTCTTGCAGATAAAGCTGGGAGGCAGGAAATGAATCTCCTCCCAAATGCTGCTTCTTATCTTTAAAGTAACCTCAAATTATTACTAAACTAATAAAGTAATTTTGTTTCAGAAAGTGATTTGATCTATTTTATTTTGAGCTTTTGATAAGTCCAAGAGTGAAATATGGGATTATTACTTTTTG